GCGAAGACATGATGATCTGGACGATTCAGATCATCATGAGGGGGAGAGAAAAAGACAAAGGGCGGCTGAGTCATTTGCTCATGTTCAAAGTGTTGAAAGAGAGTCAACTTCTCAAGCTGTAAATGTTGAAAGTACTGTCCCGAAATCAACAAGGGAAAGGACTACTGAGCCGATAATTATGGAAGATGAGACTGTTTTGGAGACATATCCAGCGATCGAGCCAATGGTTGAAAAGTCGGCGGACTCCACGGTAGGAACAAGGTTGTTACTGGATTTGTCGGCCAATGTTGGTTTTAATGAAGCGTTTGCTAGGGAACTGGGTGGAGAGCAGGATTTTGGTGAAGACATTGACAACATTGATGAATCAACTGGAGTGTATTTTGACTTTGAAGCAGATATTAATGGAGAAGATCCTGTCTTCCCATTCCAGGGTGATCGTCAGACTTTGCCTGAACCCTCCACTACAGTTAATCCTGGTTCGTCCGAGACTCTGAGGGCGGCATTTGATCCGATTGAAATATTTTTTAAAAACTATGTGCCATTTGCAATTCGCGCCAATGTTCCAGGTTATGATCGTGCAAGGATCAGAGAACCTTATCTGGAGAACATTTACTTTGGTATCCTCCTCTGGCACCGCAAAGCTCTCAGTGCAGACAAGATTCTTGGGATTCATAAAGAATCTCGAGACTATCGTATGGAGTACAAGCACTTTCTCAAGGCAAAGCGTCTCCCAATCAGCCAAGTTCGGACCAAGCATCAAGTCGTCTCAATCAAACAAATTGATGCCCAAAGACTTTTTAAAGTCTGGTATCTGGTGTTCACAGTTACACCACAAGATGGGAAGGTCTGGGTATTTAGCGAAGCTAATTTCTCTAACCTTTATTTAGAAGACTTGGAGCATATGTACCATGAACTACGAAACATGACGGTTAGAAGAGAAGGATCACTTGTTGGACTTAGTGCTATCAAAAGATTTATGTGGAGTCATGTCAAAGTGTCTATGGTTTTTGATGTCCAAATGGGTCTTGAAGACAGTCAGATAATCATTAACTTGAAGAGACCTGATCAAGAGCTAGAAGATATTGAAGGCTATCCGTTATATATAATTCTTGAAGAACCAGAGTTCGGAGTTGTGTATAGTGCCCAGGGACGGATAAAGAAGTTCATGAGGTTCAGTGAGCTGAATAAATATAGTGATGACACTATTAGAATGGTGAAACGGACGCCTGAGACGAGAAGGGCTAATAACGATAGAGCTGCGGAGTCAGAGAGGTTTAGTCCAAATGATAGGTCTTTGCTGATCAATGCCTTAGATCTGCTTGATGATAAATTGCAGTTTCGAAATGCACTGAGAAGGCTAGAGACACTGCTCGGACTTAGAAAATCCAGATTTACAATGTCTCGACCTTGAATCCAAAGGGGGAGATTGTTGGGTTCAAGTTTATGCTTAAATGTTGTATTCAAGTTCTCCCATTGTAATGTTTTTGTAATAGTTAGCATTTACTATTTCCTTAGTATAAATAGGATTTAGTCTCTTAATTGTCATTAATTCAGTTCATAATCTGATTAGTGATTGTTAATCTCATTGTAATTCTCTCTCAAGAAATCAATATCATATTTGGTGAAATTCTCTCTCTACTCAATCTTGTTCTTGTTCTTGAAGATTAATTCTGATTTGTATGATTTTGGAACTTCAACAATGTCCGAGATCAAGACAAGATCGGACACGGGGTTGTCCGAGAAGAAAAAAAAATAGAAACGCGACCAAGGGTTGTCCGAGGAACCTCTAATCCGGACAAGAGGTTATGCAGATTAGGCTACGAGAAAGAGAGTCGCGACTATGTAAAGTAACCGAGGAAAGTATCCGGACAAGGGAAGTCCGGTCAAAGCAATGAGCGACTTAGTCTTAATACGGACACAGTGTTAGGCGATATACTTGAATACGGTCACCTCGTTGTCCGAGGAAACATGAAAATGGCTAATATTGAGCGATGAAACCTAAACCCGGCTGAACCCTATGCGATATAGTTTGAACTCGTGCAACCTTATTAGCGATTTACCCCAAAACCGGTCAGGCCATTGAGCGAATTTGAACCACAAAAAAATAGACTAAGTCTAAATAGGCTAATACCTTGAACGAGGTAGACCTTGAATACGGGTAAGTCTTTATGCGAGGAAGAATGTAATCCGGTTGGTATTGAATTCGGATAACACAAAAAAAAGTCTAAGTCTATGAGCGATTTAATGATAAACCGTGTAAGATCTTGAGAGATAAAACCAAGAAATCTGCTAAGTGATAAAACAGATAAAGCAATGATCGGTTTACACAAATCCTTGAGCGATGAATACACTAAAAAAGATCAAAAACACATCACAAACACAAACACAAAAATCTTAAACTTTTTACTCAAAAATGGATCAAGATTGACCTTTTTAAGAAAAAATTCAAGAACATGAAAAATTTTAAAAACCATAAATTCGATCAAAAACTCGAAAATTAATGATCAAAACATAAAAACTTGTGAATAACAAAGATTCACAATACACAAATGCACATAATGATTACGGTTTTAACACAAAAACACAATAATTTTCAAAATTTTCAGATCAAACAAAAAAAATGAAGAACACTATGAACATATGATGGACATCATGAATCTGCAGAAAATTTTTCTTCAAAATTCTGATTTCTTTTCTTGATTTCTTGCACAACTTGCTCTGATACCAATTGATAATCCTTGTTATGATCAATCTTCAATCTATCTCAAGAATCCATGACAGATCTATGAAATCTTGTAAGAACACTTGGAAGGATATTGAGAGAAATAGTCAAACATTCAAAGTTTGGTCAAACTCTATTATTACGTAACTGATTTTTACAACGAAGCTCATACAAAATCACTAAAGACAAAAGCTTATATAGGGTCAAAGATGAACCCTTCTAAGTCAAAGTCAAACTATCAAAAAAGTCAAACACGATGACTTTATAACAATTATAGACAATATATATCTTTCAAGACGAATACAATTACTACTGAAATTTAGTCCTAACACTATCCGAATTATCTTCAACCACAAACACAAATTTTAACAAATTTTTAAACCAAAATGGATCAAAAACTCGAAAAAGAATATGATTTTTCATACGAACAAAAATTTTTCGTTTTATACAAAATCCTTCAAAAACTCTTAAAATCTTGATCAAATCGCAAAAATTTATGAATAACAACAGTTCAGATCATCAAAACGCATATATTAATCCAAATTTTAACACCTAAAACACAAAATTGAATGAGATTAGAGTAGAAAATTGGAGTTTTTGTTCGATGAACTCAAGAACACGATGAACAAGTTATGAACAGTTCGCAAAAAATCTAGAATTTTGTGTGTAAAATCTCGAAAAAAGTGTATAATCTTCAAACAAATCGCTGCATCATGCTTTGATACCAATTGTGTGTCCCAAACAATCACCAAATCAGATAATCTTGAAGAACAATATGAACAATTAAAGAGAGAATTTTAACCCAAATGCTTTGTATTGAAATCTTGCAATGATTACACTAATGACAAGCTTAACACTAATTACAAGACTAATTACTCTATTTATACTAAAAAGCAATAAAGCTACACTAGTACAAAATTAAGAGAAACAAACTTGAATACAACAATTAAAGCACAACTTTGAACCCAATAGTTAGGGTTTTCGTAAGCTACCTCATCGAAGACCAGATTGAAACAAACCTTGTTTTGGAGAGACAAGAAATGAAAAATCTTTGGAGGGACGGAGGAATTAATTCAACTCAGGAGTGGGAATTCATATTGTCGATGGTCAAAATTTAAGATATCTGTATCTAACCCAAAATGGTTTTGATTTTATATGAGATGGATACAGAAGAAGAAGAAAACCAAAATGGTTGTGGTCACACATATACAGAGGAAGAATAAGAAAGAAAGCCCAAATTGGTTATTTTAGATGTCTGAGTAGAGAAAACACAAGTCACCCAATTAGGATTTGGTGTTGTGGAGAACACTTGCATAAAGAATTTGTACATTGTGTATAATAACTTGTAATTAAGAGATTTTTGAATTTCTTGAATAAAATGGTAGTAATCTATGCTTTAGGAGTTGTAATTAAGATTTTGGCCTAAATGGTTATTAATGTAGTATATATATATATATATATATATATAGAGAGAGAGAGAGAGAGAGAGAGAGAGAGAAAATCAGGTCAAACGAGAATAGTGACCAAGTAAAATAACTCGCATATAAAATCACATGTGATCACACACAACCTAAGTCGCAAGCAAGTCACTCGTGCACTCATGCATTGACCATGTTCCATAAACGCATGAGATTTCAATGCAAAATCACATTTTGGTCATTCTCATATTCTTTATCTTGATCCCTCCATCTATCCATATATATGTGTGCGTGTGAGCGCGTACATATGTATTAATATAATAATATATTACTCCTTTCATAATAAAATAAGTGTCTACATTACCGTTTTAGTGTACCCAAAGTAAGTGTCCACTTTCAATAGTACTATATATACTTTTCATTCGGCCCTTAATTATGAGATGTAAAAAAAATAATTAAGAATAAGATTGTTCTTTTGTTAATTAAAACATGTAATAATCTAAAATTATGTTTATTTTTCATCATGAACATTTATTTTAAGATGAAAGAAGTATATATCAAGATCAAGAATCGAAATCGTGTTCTGAATCAAGTGAATTGGATACCCGTCTAGCCGGTTCAATTTACCCTCCCAACTAAACAAACATTGTGCGGTTTATGGGACTATTTAATTGTCAAATGGTAATGGAGTTTAGGTTAGGGACTGAATTTGATTTGAAATTGAAACTCCAAAAAACTAAATACAAAAAAGAAAATCGATTGACTAAATTTGTTAATTAACTATAAATACAAGGACCATATTTGTAACTTTCTCCTTTTGCTCTAAAACCCAAAAAAAATTTATTGCCAAAGAAAGGATGAGGATTCCATGGCTGTTCAGAACAAAATGAGTGATCCTCGGCGCATAGTCTTGCCAAAATCCATACCAACACCATCAATAGCATTCCTCTATGTTTTCCCTCACCAACCCAGGTGTGGTGATTTCTACTTCATCTCACATCTTTCTGAGACCACCAAATCGCTCACTCCATTGCTACCACATTAAGCCAACCCAATTCACCATCTCTAGATCGTCCACAACAACGATCAAAGCCAACATTGATGAAAAAAATTCGATCTCCACTGCCCCTGTTATCGTTCAAGAAGAAGATGACGTACAGTCGACATCCAATAAGGTATGCACTTCTTCTTTTCTGAAATTCACCAAGATTAAGGGTTCGTAAGTGGTGAAAAAATTGGAGTCCCTGTTCCGATTGCTATTTGACTGTCAAAATCAGAGGTAACGAGGAATATTTTTTGGGGAATTTGTTATGCACTAGTTTATTCACTTCATGTTTTTTCATTCGTTGAACACCCATATGATATTTGTTCGTAATTCTCGTTATAAACTTCAGGATTCTATTAATCGAAGGTATTAATCCCCTTCGAATGGTTAGAGAAAAAGGAGATTACAGATTGGAAAGCTTATGGTCTATGAAATTTTGGAGCATATTTTGATAATCACGAAGAACTTTATTACAAAGAGTATAAGTATGGATATACTAGTGTTATTTATGTACCAAAATCTACATCAATTTTGAATTGGGTTGTAATAGATTTGTTCTCAAATTGAAAATGCATTTCTTAGTTATAATCGTACTGGTTGAATTCTTCTGTTATGTCAACATTAGTAATTTGTTTTTCTTTCAAATTGTGTTTGTGAATCATGAATGATAATGGTAGATTTTTTTAATGCTACTGTTTATTTAGGAAGTCAAGGAGAGCGTAGAACTACTCAAGGAAGCTGCAAAAACTAAAAAGGTTGCAGCTACTGAGATTATATCGGCCTTCAAATTGCTCGAGAAGGCTAAACTCGATCCTTCAAAGTTTTGTGAAACTCTTGGTGGATCAGAATCCCCTGGAAGAACTTGGATGCTTATATTTACTGCAGAGGTTAACCATTGATACTTTGCCGTTCATATGCTTATATATTCTACTGTTCTACCCTTGTATGATACTTTTAATGATGCTTAATATTCTACAGAAAGGATTGAAAAGTGGCAAATACTTTCCGATTACGGCTGTTCAGAGATTTGATGCAGCTGTAAGCATCCTCAGCCTATTTAATCCCAACTGATAATCGATATAAGAAAATGAAATCCCATTTGGAGAATCTGTTTAGTTGTTGAATTGTTGATTTGATCATGAATTTATAGGTCTCTAAGTTAACACAAATCAGATTATAGATGTTTCCAGCTTCCCCATTCAATATGTTGGTCATAACTGAAACCACCAAATCTACATGAATAACTCATACAGCCTTAATTTTCAGGCAAGGAGGATCGAGAATGGGGTCTACCTAGGACCACTTGGGTGCCTAACATTTGAAGGCAGGTTTTCATGGAAAAAGAGAATACTTGCTTTCGTATTTGAGCTACTTCGGATAAAAATTGGACCTTTTAACCCAATTGAGATAAACATCAAAGGAAATGATGAAAGTGAACCAACCTCCAAGAATCCTTTCTTTATATGGCTTTACATTGATGAAGAAATAGCTGTAGCTCGAGGCAGAAGTGGGGGCACGGCCTTCTGGTGTCGATGTCAGCGTGTCATAAGCTTGTAGATTCTTTTGGTTTCTGAGGACCCTACAAGCCATGGCCACTCCGACTCAGGTATATATATATGTGTGTGTAGTTACCAAGTATTTGTGTAGAATTTTACTTTATCTTTTACTGTAAGCATCTCAATCCATAAATCAACATTTTGATTGCATTTGTGATTCTATTCCTTATGGTTTTACGTGGTTTATAGTTGAACAACTATGCATACAGTGTTACAGACACACATGTTTTCAAGCAAACTTTATACTTTGTATTTTTCTGCACACTTTGTCCAAGTCGGGGTCTTCATGAAACAATTGCTTTACTCTTTGGGATATAGGTCATGTTCACTTACATTTCACCCTCCCTAGACCCTGCCTGCAGGTTGGATATACCGGGCTCGTTTGGTTTTACAACCATTTGATCTATTCTTGTTTTGTAAAGACAAATTAGATAATACAAAGATGCCTTTCATGACATAGGAGTAATCCTGGGAGGATATTTCAATTGTTGACCATAATTGAAAGGTTGGTTCTTTGACATAGTCTATGGCTTTTATAATAGACAGTGCTAAAGGCTTGAACCTAGTAATAAATGTTATGGATGAATTCTTGGTAAAGTATCCATGATTTATCAATGATAAGTCTTCTTGTATCCTATATTAGCAACTAAAATGGGATCACCATCTTGATATATGTCGTTGTTAGGCAAACTAAAACCATGAAAACTCCTTTCTACTACTCGAGCCTAACTTTTATGCTAAATTAGGAGTTCTATTGCATTTGAAGCCTTAAAAGTCCATCATTCATGTTGAAAGCCACGATGTGAAAATTGTTTATAGAACCACGATGTGAAAATTGTTTATAGAAGTTTTGGAAGGCACCTTGTTTGTTACAAAGGTGAAAATTTCCTTATTAGTTATATTTGTAACATCTACGGTCATGTATGTCCAAAGTCCTAAAGGATCCTTCCTGAGGCAACACATTCTCTAATGTCAATGGACTCCCCTACCTAGAGACATATATGGACGTTTAATTTCGCTTCTAGGATGCGAAGGGGTTCCTAATAATACTCTTAATGCCACCATTTTAGACAAATATCCATCTACCTACGTTGTTACACGGGTAGATGCCACCCTCTGAAGACCCTACCACACCGGTCCGACGCCCATCGTGGGGAAGGAAAATCACTTCGAGTCAGCAGTATTTGGTGGTGCCCAGGATTGAACCCGGAACCTCCTTTATGGATGTCCACCATTTTATAGATGAGGCAACAAGCGTCGACTAGTACCTTCATTGTTGTCCTCCACCATTTTGAATTTTTAAAGGAAGAAACACCATGGATCAAAAGTAATAACAATGATTACTTTCTTAGTCTAAGAGATGGCAAAAAATTTCCCTTTTTTATGGAATTGAGTAAGCACAAGTTTAATCTTTAGATTCTTCATTACCAAACGAGCTTAGTTTATTAAGTATTTCTAATTTAGTCCTTGGATTTTTCATTAAATTTATATTTAGTTCATTTGAGTATTCTTTTGCAATATGGTACAACATAGTCATTTGTGTCATAAGTTATTACCTAGTGCCATTAAATCCCATCATGTTGCCATTTTATTTTCCTTCCCTTCTATCTATTTCACCTATAAACCCTCTTATCTCTCATTTTCCTTTTATTTTATTTTTAGTTTATTCACCATCTTTTAATGGAGAAAAGCAATGATGATCTACATCTCAAGTTACAATATATTTTAATATAATCATAGGATATAAGTAGAGAAGTAGTATCAAGGAAGTACAACTGTTTCAATTACATAGCCATAACATCCATAACCATAATTCAATTTTCAAAAGCTTATGTGCTACATTTGAAGTCTGTTGGTTTCAGCCAGATCTACAAGAGTTTATAGGTAACAATTTCTAGAAGAGGGAGGATGAATACAAACATCACAACTTTCACTTTTAAAAACCTTATATTGATAAAGAAGATCAATACAAATTTTTACAGATTGTTTGCGTAATAGATAAGATATAGATTTTATCTAGACAATCAAAGATACACACAAGTTACAGATAGCAATAAAGAAAAGATTTGCTAAAAGAAATAGGTTAAGAAGATCTTGTGCTCTTCATATGTTATGGTGGAAGTCTTGAGATAAAGAAGAGACAAATTGCTAAGAAGAGAGAACTACTCAGCTATTTATACCCATTGCATTAAATGCAATTCAGAAGGTACAAAGCAGGTGACAAGCTTAAAGAGGTGAGCTTGTCCTTTGTTGCAGATATACAGGCTTTTGGCCGTTTATGAACATTCTTCTTTCATAAAGTAGGTAAGCACGCTTGGAGTGACTCCGTACTGTACTTTACTTTAGAGAGGTAGGGTTTGTCCTTTGTGTGAAGAAGGAAGACACAAAAACTAATCTTGTTCAACAAGATTCATTTGATCGCTGACACTAGAATGACGTTGAAGGTCTCATCAGTGTTTGTTGAATCTTGCATAGATTTCACACTTGTGTAGACGAGCTTGTTATCACTAAAAACTGCTTGAGATCACAAACTTGCTAATCTTTATCTTCAGCTTCTATCTTCGATATCGCTGAAGGATCTGTGGTGTGAGTTTTGTCTTCTTGAAGGATACTGATCTCTGAACGAATTACAATACATGTTTAGTGATCACTGAACATACTTAGTGATGATTGTTGAAACTGAATACAGAGATAGTAGACTTCGTAAGGTAAATGGGATCATCATCAAATCACTGAGAAAGAGGATCAACAATATCCCCCTATTTGATGATGACAAAACAACATAAGAAAAATGCTTAAGGTATTACAGTAAGGAAAAAGTACTAGTAAAATACTTGTCCATTTTAACTGTTTTGGGATCTTTTTTTAGTGATACAGTTTACTATGGAACTTTACTTCAATTGTAAAGTATTACAAGGAAAGAATAAACTTGCACAATATTAATAACTGAATACTGAAAGCATATTCACTGACTAGACATGTGTTAGTGAATGTAAGAATAAACTAGTACTCATAAGTACATGTCCCATTTTTTCTTTTCACAGATCTTTTTCAGTGAACTGATCATTTTATTGAAATATATTTCAAAGAAAAATATTACCAATCATTACAATCAGTTTTGGTAGACTTAAAACATAAAAGTTATACACTAAAAGAAAAGATAAGAAAAAAAAGATATTACAAGACTGAAAGGACTTCTAATCAAGATTGCTGAAGTTGACGTAGTTTGGAACATCTTCTCCTAACATCTTTCGTCAGAGCATTTCATTTCGAATCTTGCGATCTATCATTTCTCCAAATAGATCATTATTCATCCAAGTCCTTAGATATTCCAAATAGATCATTATTCGCTGAAACCTGTATTTACCATCATAGTCAATGAATATAAGTCCATATTCAGGTTTCACATGCACTGTGTTGGGTATATAAGGACCCTTGCAGGCAGTGACAAATTCAACATTGAGATATCTGGCTTCTTTCGATCCTTGAGAAGTTCATTCACTGAGAATTTTGTTTCATGTTCGTTCTTGTGGGATGTCCATCTTCAAGTTCAGAAAAGTTCTTTCTTTGAGAGGGCTTCTTTGGCAGAGGAGGAACCTCGATGATCTTCGACACCTTGTTAAATAATTCATTCAGAATATCTTCAATCAGAGGCTTGTGTTTGGATTTAGAGATCTGGATAGCCTGTCGGAGCCATTCCTAGAAGCCATGCTGACCGAGGTAGGAGGGGTGCTCAGTGACAACATCTATATTCTCTCGGTATATGACCATTGAAATGAGAAAAGCACCATCTTTCAGACGACCACTGATAGTGACATTTATGATTTTGATAGGGCTCATTCTCTTTTCGATCCTTTCTCTGCACCATGAGAGGTCACACTCATTTAGCTTCAACACCCATTGGCGTTCATGTTCAGCTTCTGCTATCAGTTGGGCTTGAGCGTTGAGAGGATCTTTCCCGTTTGATATTCCCTTCTGCAAGTGCCTTATCAACTAGAGCCTTGGCTAACTCCAAACTGTCTTTGAGTTGTAGTTGATGTTTCTTCAGCTCTTGTTCAGCAAGGAGGGATTCTTCACGTTCAGCTTCTGAAAGGCAATCAAAATCACCACATGCAAAGGTAGGAAGAGGAATTTTTAATCTGGATTGGTCGAGCTGACTTACCAGCTGAGCCATCCTCTGGTCTTCATCAACTATTGAACACTCAGGTTGTGAAGACGACTTCCTGGGTATTAACGTGTTGGATTCATCATCATCTTCATCGTCCTCTATGCTTTCAGAAGATGGGAGATGGATTGAGAGATCAGGAGAGTTTGTTGTTGCAGAGAGTAGTAGAGGGATAGGAGATTCAACTTTTGGTGAAAGTGATACAAACCTGGAGGAGTCTGCATCCTCAAATTGGCCGACAGCCCTTAGAACGATGGTAAGATTGTCTTCAGTCACTCCTTTGCCTTTGTCAGTGGAGTGATGGTTCCTTGATGGTTCCTTGATGATTTCTCCCCCTGGGAAGCAGGTTCCCGGATAGAGATTCCTTTTGTTGGTTGTCTTGGGATGTCTCGGATGCATAAATCATCATCATCATCGTCACCACCATGATCAGTGCCTGCATCTGGAAGTTGCGGTTCAGAATCATCATCATCATCATCATCATTTTCATCACCAGCATTTGGAAATGCAGAGGTGGAATGATGAAGGTCTTTATGGTCAGCAGCAGCAGCAGTAGCAGTAACCACGACATCATCATCATCATCGATGACATTAGGTTACCTGACATCCTCAGCAAGAGAGGGTTCAAAACATCTTCATTCAGAGCGTCTTCAACAGTCTCCTTATTATTCTCCCCCTCTTTGTCATCATCAAGATTAGAACTTGGAAGAGGAAGGCGAGAGGTAAGGTCTTCCAGTTTGTGCTCTATGGAGGAGATAGCTTTAGCTTGAAGAAGGTAGAATGCAGCGACCGATCCAGTTGTTGACGATCAGCATCTCTGAAGGCAAGTTCAGGGATGGGTGTTGGTTGTTAAAGGAGTTGGAAGATTTGTTGAAGGAGCTCACCAGGCACCTGAACTTCATTAGCTTTGCTGGAGAGTGTAGTGACAACTTCAGTGTTGGCTTAAACTTCAGTCTTCACAGTGTTCAATGTATATTTGACTTCACGTACCTAAGTTTGGACAATATAGAGGTCGTGAGTGGCAACAATAGGTAGCAAT